CCCCTTAAAATCATATAAAGTATTATAAAACATTTAAAAGTGTGAATTATAGGGGTATGAACTCACCTGATTGATTGAAGAAAGCGTGACAAAAACCGAGCAGAACTTCTACTTGAGAGAGCTGATCTCTCAAGATCCTCGGGAATCTCGGGAGCGTAAAACTTCCTTCCGAGCTTGGATATGAAAACCGGGACCTTGGGACGGCTCCGACGGTTGAAACGCAGAGTTTCGACGCAAGAAGGGAAGGAAATTAGCAAGAATGGCCGGCACCCTCGCATCCTTTTTATAGAGGCTGAAAGCCTCGCGTACGCTGGGCGTACGCTTGTACGCGGGGCGTACGAGACGCCATGCTTGACCGCATCCTCGGTCGAAGCATCGGAGCGACGTGGACGAACCGGAGTCTAGCATCCGAGTACGCTGGGCGTACGAGGGTACACTGGGCATAACCTAGATTGGTCCGATGACTCCTCCTTTGGATAATACCGGATTTTAATTAAATTAAATATTTTAATTATTAATAAACTTCAAAAATTCATATCTTCTTCATACGAACTCCGTTTTTGACGTTCTTTATATCCACGCGTAGGTGAGACTACGATCTACAACTTTTATTTAGACTTCGTCGACTAGTTTTGAATTTATTTTTAATATTATATTTTTAATAGGCCGGGACAGGAAAAGTCCGTTAAAATTTCATAACTCCTTCCGCTGTCTGTTTTCGCCAGACTTTTTACCGTTGTAATACCATTGATGAGATCTTCGATTCTCGTTTAGGTCATGTTTGGCAAAAATCCGCTCGATCTCGATTTCGAGTTTTTAGCTGTCTACTGCTATGTCTGAAACTTCGAAAAATCATAACTTCCTCATATGAAGTCAGATTGGGCATTCTTTTAGTATGCTTACGGTTTTGGGATATCTAAAACTTTAATTTAGATACCTAAGGCTAAAAATTATTGTATTGAAACTTCGCGTTTTACATCTATCAGTGTTTTCGATTTTCGCTGCGAATCTTAGATTGGTCATAACTTCTTCGTTATAACTCGGATTTTAGTGTTCTTTATGTGCACGAAAACCTTGATACGATTCCTACCACTTTATTTAACCCAAATAAGATTTTAGGAAAGTTAAATTTTTACCTATATTTGACTGGTGTTACATTTCATTGTCTCGAAATATCGGGTTGTCACATCATCCCCTCGTTAGAGGGAATTTCGTCCCGAAATGAGAGTTTAAGCAGAATTGATACTACGCTACGGATAAAAGTTTTATTTGATCTTTGCGTTCCTAAGTGAATTAAGATCCTCGCATGGCCTTCCAGCGACCCTTTCACTATCGGGGAACGACTTTGTTTCTTTTTTTGCCTTACTGGTGTGATAACTCTTCTTGGTCGAATGTATGTTGGATGTTTTTGTGGACTGTGAAATTAGTACACCTTGTACCCTACAAGTAGTGTCTCCAGATCTTCAGTGCATTATCACTGCTCTTGACTCGAGATCATGTGTTGTATAGTTAACTTCCTGTGTCTTAAGCTGTCTTGAGGTATAGGTAGTGACCTTTCCTCTTGCATAAGAACACAACCAATTCATACTGATTATGAAGTCAAAACCTTGATTATATATCACCCCTATGTATACATTCATCAGTGACAGATCAACAGTATGGATCTTTGGATTTGAACTTGACGTACTGTAGCGACTGGTACTTGGGGATTTCTTTGGAAAGGAAAAAACTATGAGGTACTCCATGATTTCGAAGAAAGAGATGTATGTATGAAGCTGTTTTTGTGAGGACCAAATTTAATCATGTCGTATGATAATGTCAGAATCATAAGGAAACTTAAAGACATTAGATTTGAACATAAGATGTTTACAGACAAAACACAACCGTGCAACCATCAACAGAGTTACAATACTTTAGACTGATACAAGACTATTGTTGCGTATAAGGTATACTACAAAAGGAAAGTATACGCAGCACGAGCATCCCTATACCGACGGGATCCCGCAAAAGATAAGACTCTGGTTGCACTAGTTTTGGATGGTTTATAAGTATGTTACAACGAAATGCCTAAATTACATTAACGTGGGTTCGGAGTAGGTTCCCCTGCAGCTGTGATCCTGAGAATCCTACCGTCTGCGCCAGAATTCTTTGTTATAGGGCAATCCTTCTTGAGGTGCCCTATCTCCCCGCATTGGTGGCATGACTGGCTAGTACTAGCCTTGGTGGAGGGAGTGAGGTGGTTAGCCAATGTTATGTGGACACGAGTTCCTTCCTCATTACACCACCTTGGAAATTGCTTCCTAAAGCATTCTTCAGGAGTTGCCACGTGTTTCTATGGCATGGAAAGTCTTTGGGATCTCTTGCGCTCCTTTAGGGCTTGACGATATCGTCTCTTCCTTTCGGTCTTACGGCTTCGCAAGTCTATGACTGTTGCCATTTGTTGGTTTCCCGGTTTGGTACTACCATCGGAACTCTCGACTCGTTTTTTGGTCTTGCTTGTGTTGCCTGAGTTGATGTGTGTAAGGAAAGTTGTTATAGTAGCTGCTACTACAGCTTGTAATGTAGCAGTGTCGATATGGGGATAGGGGTTTCGTTGCTCGGCTGATTGTTTCCGGATGACGACATGATTCTGTAACACGAAAGATAAAGATTTTATGAGCGATTCTGGTTGACTCTAGATGTACTTCGATTGTTCAAGTAAAGAGTAAGACTATGTTCTCAAAAGTTTGACCTACATCCTTATGATACAGTACTAGTACGGATTGGAAGTATGTTCATTATAGTTTGACCTACATCCCTATGATGCAGTCCTAGTTCAGAGTAGAAGTATGTTTGTAGAATGGTCTTTAAACGTTTGTCGTTCAAGCCGAGGCATTATAGGTTGGTGGATAATATGATCCAACCTTTAAAAGAGGCTTGAAAATGGTTTTAGAGTTAAATTACCATAGTCCAATAACTTGAATAGATGGGGTTTCAGATAGACTCCAACTGTAGTAAAATGAAGGTATTTGAACAAAGAGTAACACGGAAGTTAATCGACTTTCGATATCATTGATGTTTAAGATGTAATAGGTTTGGGGAAATTGACCTTGTTGTAGGTCGTACTTCATATTCGGAGTAGAAAAGTCCTTGACAACATAAAGACTTAACTAAAAGTACTTACAGTACAAGGTAGTCACATAGAAAGTACTACACAGAACATAGACAGGAACATGGTTCTTTAAAACAAAGAAGGAAGTAAGGTATCTCCTACTGGCGATGGTCACCCCTATGGTAAACCCTTATTTCGGTTAGTTGACATTTCATATCAAGCAGGTATCTCTCTTACACCCTCTGGTGTACTTGGAGCTCTATGTCTTCGGCTCGGGTTTCAGCTAGTGTTCGTAGCAGGGTTTCATGGTTTGTCTCAGATCTCTCACTCGTGATCAAGGCAATTGGTGCGAATGGTATGCATTTTTGCATTGGTATTAACCTCTTTGATACGTTGAAAATTCGTCCTTTCCTGAATTTTGTTTCAGGAAACTCTACGGATTAGGATTTGTAGAACTCTGTCTGTTGAGATTCCTTCGCTTGAGTGGTAGAAGCTTCGGTATTCATTAAACGACATAGGTTGATCTTGCACTTCGCTCCATGTTTCCAAGCATTCTACCCAAGGAGGCGTCGGGCCATGAAGAGCGGGACGAGGGTTAGGGTTTGAATTGGGAGCTACTTGGGGTAGGTTCTCATCCTCGAGTTCGGAGTTATCATCATCCGAAAGGTCTGCAGCATGGTGATCATTCAAAAGGGAGTGGACGATCATTCTCTGGTTCTTCTCGAAACCATCCAACACTGCCTTTGTTCGGGGAGTACGAGTTGTCGTGGGGATGGAGTCCAGGCATGTTGTCTACACGAGAATTTGGGTAAAGAAATAATTATTAGACGAACTATCTAGATAATTATTAGATAATCTTCATTAGTTACATCATTATTTGTAAAGTGCATACCAGTTATATGTAATCAAAACAAGATAGGCTTTCGAATAAGTGAACTCAACTCCAAATTCACAAGGAACCGGGGTAAAGCAGAATTTCACAGATTCTAAGTCTATGACATCCTAGTTACATATAACCTTAGTATATCCACTTAGCAACTATCAACT